CTAAAGGTGTGGAGATTAGCTCTTGAAGAAAAGGGTTTAAGAATAAGTAGGAGTAAAAGAGAGTTTATTGAGTATAGTTTGACAGAGGAGAACACGAGGTAAATGAAATTATGAGAGAAGTGACAATAAACGAAGACGTAATAGGAGAGTTTTAAGTATTTAGGATCAGTTATGCAAAAAGACGGTAGTATTGACGAGGATGTAAGACACAGGAAGTGTTTTACACTTCACAGTGCGGGTGGTTTAATAAGGATAGAAGCGTCTGGTGCATCATGCAATAAAAGAATTCTAATGAGGCTGAAAGGTAAGTTCTATAAGACTGTAGTGAGACCAGATATGGATGTATGGTTCAGAGTGTTGGCACGGACGACAATAAAGTAGAGTATATAACGAGTGTAGCAGAGATGAGTGGAGTGACTAGAAAAGATAGGATAAGGAACGAACATATAAGAGGGAGAATGGGTGTAACGTCAATCGTGGATAAGATGAGAAAAAATATATTACTAAGATATATACTACATAAATACTTAGATGGTTTGGTCATGTTATGAGGAGAGAAGAATCAGAAGCTGTAAGAACAGTTATAGAAATTAATGTTGAAGGAAGAAGAGGTAGAAGTAGAACATGTTATTTTAAGGATATATGAGATTACAATTATAAAATTTTATTTCATTTTTACAAAAACCTGTGTTTATAGCATCATAAGTAGATTAAAATGAGCATTTAATACATTTTAAGTTTTAAATAATCCATAAAAGCTGTAACGCATTTATAACTATTAGAAAATATAAAAATTCATTAACATGTGAATTAGTGAAGTCGAAATATGATACGTATATATGTATATGGTATTGTCACAATTTTATGAGTGAGGGACTAGTTAAAAATCTGCATTAACCATATTTTAATAAGTTTCAAAATATCACACTGAAACATTCTTTGAACTTTATTTATTAAACGGAAACCCCCTCCAGAAAAATGTTTGGTCCACAGCGATTCTATTGAAACGTTTACCGTATTAGGTTTTACCTTCGCGTAACTTGGACGAATAACTAAAAAAGAAAATATATAAAAATATATCACAATTTAAATTTATATTAATTAAAATATTGTTTGGTTCAAAAAAAATGTAATTCGACCGTCGTTAATGGATACTCCAACTAGAAATTACAGTTGATTTGTAAGAGATTAATCATTAAAGTGACATTCTGTTTAAATAATACTCTCAACGCAGAAAATATATTTATAAGAGAATTATAGTGAAAATATTTTCTTTTACGAAATATTGTGCTAGTGTTTCATTCTGATTTACTGAAAATATGATGAAAATAATTCATTCCGTTCGTTCATCAGGTAAGTAACTTTACATAATTAGCTATTATATTGTTATATGACCTAAAACAACAGATTAGTACATTAAAATTTCTTTTCGTTCGACAAAACTAATAAAAGAAAATTAATCATTATGATGATATTTACTAATTAATAATATTATTTTACAGCTACACTGAAATGTTTATGGATCAATAGTAAGCCGACCATTATTAAGCTTCTTCGCCGTGAGTATAATAACAATCGATAAATTAATAATAATTCAATAATAGTTTTAAATATTGTTTAATCATATATTTATATAAAACAATAATTTTATTTTTTCAGTTCTAGAATGCATTCTTTATGCTATCCAAGTTGTTACATGGTAAATAGAACAAATTACTTCAAAATTCATAACAAATTTAGATCTTTTTTTGTAGAGTAATAAATTAATAAATTATAAATAGGTTTGCATTAGACAACACAAATAGGCTGATTAAACATCTAGACCGCCACGTTCATTTTGATAACAATATTACCTGCATTGAATATGAAGTGGACACAGATATTGAAACAATAGAAGAGTCCAATGAACATCAAAATGCAAGAGATCAAGTATAAATTTACATGAGCATTTTTTGCATACAACTTATTTAGTATTGTCTGTTTTTGTTGTGACACGGTCACGGTGTTGTCACCTGTGTTACACTCAGTGGTGTCACGTGTTAACTTGACCGTTCCACACACGTGCTATCGTTGTGGTGTAGAGTCCAACAAACGGCTACCGTCGTATACCCATCGCAATAATACGTTTATCTGTCATTTTCGTGACACACGATTTTTATGTACCGCAACGTACCACCATTTTTTTTTTTTTTTGAAAAATAAACGGCTCTACAACACCTCTAATACAACTTAGTATCGCCTAATTTTTATATGACCGCGCGTTCATTAACTTCCATCAACTGACTCCCCGGCTTCCATCTCGACCGAATGACACCAATAAGGTAAGAAAACACAGCTGACATTTCACATTATTTCCATTATTTTTGAATTTTTTTTTTCTATAAGAGACAGCGAATTTTTTTTCGCCTTGATCACACTACTATGAACTTTTAATTCTCTGGTGACAGCAGTGAATTTCCCACCCGGTCATATAGACACTATCCATTGCGCGAAATAGTAGATTCTACTATTGATCCTTCTCTTGTTAACCGTCACCGTATGGCTGATACCTGGTGGATTCATGACTTAATTAATAACACTATTGATTGTCCTGAAATATACTATTCCATTACATGTCCATCCTGTTATCTTGCGTAATAATTGACTATTCTACACTCGTTTGCACAATCAAAAGTAAATATTCACTGGTTAACCGTATGCTAATGAATTGCAATTCAGTTAGCAATAAATTAGACTTTGGTGGTGCCGCACAAGCACGACCGCGTAAAATTACTACTCCCGTTGTGAAGCTGGAATTTGACAACGGCTTCGTGACGGACTTACTAGAATCATAAGTGCAGAAATTGTACACTACTCCAGCAATAGTCCAGAAATTTGGAATTGTGCACAGCGGACAAACGCCCTCCCGTATGATAAACTGACGGTCACACAACAGACGCGGCCGGCACAGTTACCTTTACCGAGACCATCGTAGACCTAAAAGTAAAACTCACGGCCGTCATCTCAGATAATTCGTACTGTCATTCGTGGGACACGACTTTTTAACAGAGCAGGAGGTCTCTTGCATGTACAGTTCACCTGGACAAGACGAGGTGTACTACAGCTTATTGGAGAGCGAGTGATCGGCACGCGTTACCTGACGTCAATCTATCTCACTAGATATACCAGGCGACTCACACACGCGCGCAATACTAACGCCCTACTANAAAAGACGGCTCCTGCCGCTTGTGTGTCGATTATCGGCGACTTAACGAGGTGACCGTATCAGACGCGTACCCTACGCCTAATTTAAATTAAATGGTCAGAAGCAAGAGAGGGGCGAAAGTTTTCACGACACTCGGGTTACTGGCAATACCCATTACAACAAAACGAATACACCGCGTTCAGAACAAAAAACATTTTAGTTTCGTGTGCGTACGTTTAATGAACGATATACTTAGGGTATCAAGTGATGACTTTGTTCAGGCTTATCTAGACGATATTTAAATGTTTTCGAAACACACTTAGACTAACTTAGTAAAGTTCTAGAACGTTTAACGCGTCACGGCCTAACATGTCACGCTAAAATGTGTAAAACCGGGTTCTCTGAAGGTTATTTTTTAGGGCACCGGGTACATTGACTAGCACCCGCCGCTATTAACGACGGCCGTATAGAGCGCGAACAACAAATCACCCAAAACAAACATAACACTGTTGTTTACTTCAAAGCGCACCGAACGCGAACAATAAGTTTTGCGTCCGAGTTGTGTGGCCCAGTTAGACTAGCCGAACGCCTTGGTAAAGGGGTATTTTTAACGGACCAGTCCCCACCAAGGAAAATTCACGTCTCATATATGAAAATGAAATAATAGAAAATGTTTTCTTTTTTTTCGTTTCTTTTAATTTTCCTCCTTCTCATGCGTGAAGATTTATGTATGTGATGTAATTAATTATGTCCTCTGCTCACGTAACAGTATCCATATAGACCTGTCGGATAGATATATGACTAATAAAATTTGATATTCTTTTTTGTTACTTTTCAGCATGAACAACGACACCACAACAAACACACCGGGCCCCGTGGTTACCGGCGGATCCGCTCCCACGCGTGTTACGTTCGTCGGATGATGCCGCCCGCGCTCCCTTCTCCAGGTGTTACGCAACCCCGTGGCCCACCACAAACGGGATATTCGGGTAGGTCGCGAGGAAGTAAGGCGGAAAATGCAGAATGCGCTAAACGCTCTTCTCCGTACCTTCCCCTCTAATTCGTAAGCGCTAACTGCCGCCACCAAGATCTGCAGGGTAATGTGGCGGCACAGCATTTACCCCACCAGCCTACTCCAGGAAGGGCCACAACAAGCAATACGGGAGTATATGCTAATACTCGTCCATTAACCTCTATCAGTTGAAAAAAATAAAATTGTGTTTTATACTCAGGATGAGCAACAAAATGCCATAGCTCCGATAAATCAAGTTTTTGACGATGTTGACATTAATAATCCCAATGATTTACCTTTGATTGAATCGAATGATCAAAGTACTCTTTTTGTGCCCAATAAAAATGTGAGTATCGATTTATGTTTACAATTTAATTATTAGTGTCAATTTTTTATATTAAAGTATAACTATGTTGTATACTAAGGGTGAAAAACAAAATGTCATAGCTTCGGAAAATGAAGTTTTTGGCGTTACTGACATTAATGATGCCAGTAATTTACATATGACTGTATTGAATAATGAAAATACTCATTTTTTGGCCACTGAAAATGTGAGTGCCAATTTTTCCGAAATATTTTATTGTTAATTCATATAAAATATACATTTTTAATTATATAAATATAATCTATTTCAAATAGCTATTATATATTTTTGTGTTCAGGACAATGGTTTATATAAAAATGAGTCACAAAATGTCATAGTTTCAGTACATGACGATGCTGACACTTCTGATGCCATTGATTTACCTTTGACTTTGACGAATAGTGAAAATTCTCCTCTTGTGTCCACTGAAAATGTGAGTGTCAATTTATGTTTACAATTTCTCCGAAATATTTTATTGTTAATTCATATAAAATATACATTTTTAATTATATAAATATAATCTATTTCAAATAGCTATTATATATTTTTGTGTTCAGGACAATGGTTTATATAAAAATGAGTCACAAAATGTCATAGTTTCAGTACATGACGATGCTGACACTTCTGATGCCATTGATTTACCTTTGACTTTGACGAATAGTGAAAATTCTCCTCTTGTGTCCACTGAAAATGTGAGTGTCAATTTATGTTTACAATTTCTCCGAAATATTTTATTGTTAATTCATATAAAATATACATTTTTAATTATATAAATATAATCTATTTCAAATAGCTATTATATATTTTTGTGTTCAGGACAATGGTTTATATAAAAATGAGTCACAAAATGTCATAGTTTCAGTACATGACGATGCTGACACTTCTGATGCCATTGATTTACCTTTGACTTTGACGAATAGTGAAAATTCTCCTCTTGTGTCCACTGAAAATGTGAGTGTCAATTTATGTTTACAATTTCTCCGAAATATTTTATTGTTAATTCATATAAAATATACATTTTTAATTATATAAATATAATCTATTTCAAATAGCTATTATATATTTTTGTGTTCAGGACAATGGTTTATATAAAAATGAGTCACAAAATGTCATAGTTTCAGTACATGACGATGCTGACACTTCTGATGCCATTGATTTACCTTTGACTTTGACGAATAGTGAAAATTCTCCTCTTGTGTCCACTGAAAATGTGAGTGTCAATTTATGTTTACAATTTCTCCGAAATATTTTATTGTTAATTCATATAAAATATACATTTTTAATTATACACATATAATCTATTTCAAATAGCTATTATATATTTTTGTGTGTTAGAACAATGGAACAATAAAGCAATGTCAGTTAACTCAGGTAAAAAAAGATGAAAGACGGTTCATGATGAAAGATATGGCAAAGTTTCACTTGAATGTAAACTATGTATATCGTCTAAGAGTGTTGCACACTGCTAAAAACTATATCTTTTTGGCGAAAGTGAACGAAGAAAATTCGATTAGGGCACTTGAAAGACGCATTAATGTTTTTTACAGTTACTCTAAGGAAAAAACTTACACCCCCCAATTGGAGGAGCTGTGCGTTATTAAATATAGTAATAACCTTTAGTTATTAACTTAATTAACTTGTAAAAGTAATTAATAGTTAAGTATTTTAGTCGAGATTTGTAATTTTAAAGTTTAACATCAGATTCATTTAATAACTAAGTAATTAATTGGTTATATCTTTAAAATACTCAATAAATGAATAACGACTCCGAGTGAAAATATGTGAATCTAAATAAAATTTATCAACAAACTTTGCTTATTACTTTTATCTTAATTTTAGACGACGGTAATTGGTACAGAGGCATCTGTAAGGCCATCAATGAAGATGTAGATGGAAAAATGACATTTTTTATATCACTGCTAGATTGGGGTGATTTCATTTCTGTAAATGTTAATAACATACGAAAAATACAGCCATTTTTTATTCAACACGCACCATTAGTAGTAAAATGCGTTCTTAGAGGTAACTATTTATCATGACAACATGAGGTTGTTTATTTAACATTTAAAGTGATAATTCAATGAAATGTAATTAACCTTTTATTTTTAGATTTGAAACTTTCACGTTTTTCAAAGAAAATTTTAAGGAAACTGTCTAATAAAGTCTTTAATTGCAATATATTCTCAAGATTTGGTCCGACTTATTATGAAATTAAATCGGAGCAGATATCTAGCTTATTAAAAAATTAAAAATTAATTTTAGTGTCAACCAGTTGGCAATTTAACATGAACATATTTATCTTGCTAATTTATAATTTACAAGTAGCTCGTTTTTAAAGAAAATTTCTTAATCCATTATTACATGTTTAGTAATGTACAATTCATTCCAAAACTTATACAACAATTAATAAAAACTATTTATGAAATTTAATCATATATCTGTTAAATAAAGTTGAAAATATATTGATATAATTATGTTTATATAAACATATTGTTCTTCATTTAACAATTATGTTAAGAAATATCAATTATCAGTTTGCATTAATAGAACCTTTACATTTTATGAACGAAAATTACCATGAATTTTCATTGATGTGATTTATTTTACAATGTGAGTTACAAGATTAGTACAAAAGATCAACTGATATTTTGTATATTATAACTATATTAAGATTTAATGACGAATATCTTTATTAATTTTACCTTCTAACTAATTAAAATATTATTAATAGTGGTATAGTTAGTTAATACTACCTTTTTATTAAATTAATTACCTCAGATAAAAAAAGGTAAATTAATTATATAATATACACTAATTGCAATTATATTACTAAGAAAAAAATATTTTTATTCATAGCCTGTATTGAAACTTATTAGAATAGATAATTATTTAAATTCTATTGATTGATTGAGCTTCAGTGAACTTAGTTGAGAATATGATAGGTAGTAGTAAAATAATCTTACCCTTATCTTATACAATATAAAATAACAATTCATACAGTTTTTATTATTATAATAATAGATTTAATTTATTTATAAGCATTTCTTTAAGAAGAAATGATATTCTAAGAGAGAATAATTTGTGATTTTTTTATATTTATGTTTGAAATAATCGATAAAAAGAAAAAAGAATGTTAAAGAAACATTTAAATAATTAATTAATTCTTGATTGCTATGTAAATATATCGATAGTTAATAGTGAATAATAATAGTGTAATATTATGGGTGTACTTAAAAAATCTATCATAATTATTTAATTATATTATGCGTTTAAATTATCATTTGTAAATTCACAAATAATAATTGTATTCACATTTACTATTAATGTTGTATAATGACGATTAATTGTTATAGTGTAACATTAGTGCATATGAATGTTTCACGAGTAAATCATCAGATTATTTTTTTATGACAATTACTTAATGTGGATTGCGTGTGCTAAGTATATTTTATACTGATGTAAACTAAGTAAACAGTATTTTCTTCCTTTTCAAGAAAAAAATACTTTTAAAGGAAATTAAACATGCATTTATTGAGCATAGATCATTTTTTTCTTTTTTTAATAAGACTTTATAAAGAGAAAGAAAAAGCGATAAAAAATAAAAAAAAAATTACTAATATGAAGATTGTAAAAAATATATTAAGAATTTTATTAACTAGTAGTGAAGATTTTTTTTTCTTAATGACAGTATTTAATTCAAAAAAGAACTTTAAAAAAATTGCTTTAAGATATTTATTTGAGAAAACTTGGTTGAAAATAGTAGGAAATATCTTATCTTAGCATAAATTGGATTAAGAGTAATTGATGAGAAATTCAAATGAATTTCTGATTATACACTCAAAACAATTATATTTAAAAAGAATCATTATTGATTATACCACGTAAAGTAATTATTAATTATAAAATAGATGTTTAGATTAATATTTCCTTTATTATTATTTATATATATTTTTTTTTTAATTAATTTTTTTTTGCATGTAATAATAATGTAATGTAATAATAATATTAGCAATTGATCTATTAATCTATAGCAATCGAGTATAGTTGCATAATTATAAATATATAATTTTTGTAAATTAGTAAAGGTAATTGCTCTATGATAATGTTGACAGAGAGGATATAGCTTATTTTGAGTAAAAAGAACTTTTAACAATTTAACATAAGGCCATAATATTACTTAAATTGTTAGGTTAGATATTTTGAGTATTACATTGTATATAGGAGTAAAAGTTAATATGAATAATAAGACAAATTTGATATTTAAAATCAATATATTATATTATGAAGATGTTATATTGGTATATTTACTAATATGATTTTAATTTTCCCATAATTATATTATGATAAAAATATTCCAGCCCTCTTCAGGTATTGAAGGATACCAAGACATAATGTATTCAAATTCTTCAGGAAAAAAAGTATCTTTGCAAAAATTTATGCATTCTATAAAATTTGTGCAGGAATTAAATGATATAAATTCATTAGACGTAGTCTTATTATAACTCCACGCTTCATTGTTTAAAGAATTTAAGTTGTTTTGATATGCAAATTCCCACGGTTCATTAGAAACAGTTCTCTTACTTTATGTCATCAAATTATATACATTTAAAGAGCATTAATCTGTAAAATCTACATTGATCTTTTATAAGTATTAAAAAAATTAAGTCATTTCAATATTTTCTTTAGAATGGTAAATTTGTAATGTTTGAAGGATTATTTTGCTATACATTCCCTATTAAGTTTTCTCTCCTATTCTAACTTTCCATCATCAGATGGCATGTTAGGTCTAAATATATCATTATACCATTCCTAGTGTTAAATTCCACATTGGATGCTGAATTTTTAGCTATCTCATCAGCTTAAAACAATATAGGTTTTGACTTAAAGTAATGGACTATATCATAAGTCTAGCGAAGATTATATTTTGTTATGTAGTAGTATTGTGCTATGATCTTTCTGTGGCTCTCTTTGAATGAGTAGGTATGGCATAATCGCACATTTTGTATTGGACATTCCCTCTATATTCTGCTGTAAGAAGTGTTTTTTTATTGTGAATGTTTTGTGACATGCAGGAACCATACTAAATAAAATTAAGAAAAAAATTATAAGATGATTTTCCTTAAAATCTGTATATTTATAAAATGGCTTTATAATATATCTTTTTTTTAAAGAGAATATTAATTTATTATATTAAAAACAAAAATTTTGTGAAATTATTCAATAATAATAATTTTATTGAAAAAGTGGAAATATATGAGACAAGTTATGTTCTGTGGCAAGATGATCCATATTGTAAAATGGATTTTACTAAATTTAATAAATATATTAAATATTATATAAATATTGAATTTGAGAATTGTAACATAAAAATAATTATATATTATAAAGATTTTGTAATGATAAATATTAATGAAAAATTCTAAAGTAATGAGAGTTTATTTATAAATTCTTAGAAAATAAGTTTTTAGACGTCATACATGCACCGCGTCTCCAACATTTTTATTATTTAGGATTAATTTAATAATATAGTTTAATTCATTAATCTTTTTTATAATTTTAATAGACCATGATATTTTAGTACTAATTTGGGCAATTTTTACATTTGAGCAAAAGGAAATTATTTTGAGTTGCTACAAAACACAAAAAAATTCAGAGAAAAAAAAATTAGTATAAAAATTTATTATTTGAGAAAGTATTGAAAAACTCAAGAGATTATTAAAAATATATAAAATTATTATAATTATTCAAATAATTTATTTGAAATATAAATGTCATACGAACAGAAAATGTGCCAAAGGAGAGCATAGGAAAACTTTAGATTAGATTAATAATTTAAAAAGTCTAAATCATTAAAAGAACTCGAAAAGAGAAATTTAATTACTACTAGTGTAATATCAGACTTAAAAATAACATCACTGTGGTTTATGTATCTCAATAATAATATATGTATTATAGTATGTATTAATATAATACAATAAATTACAGTATGGAGATTAAAAAGTTATATTTTATTCATTGATCAAAATGATATATTATTTATTTATTAGAAAAAAGAAAGCAATTAAATGTTAAACAAACAATAGCTCATATTAATGATAAATGATATGGAGGCTCTTTGTAAGAGGAAGAGCAAGTGAGAAATTTTATAAAAGGTTTAAACCCAAGTATTGCTAGATATGTTAGTATTCTTGATAATTGTAACTTTACTAAATTAAAAAGAAATATTCATAAGTACGAAGTGGTACAATTTATGATTACTGGAGAAACAGCTAAAATTCTGTTTGAAATTAAACAAAATATAATAAATGAAAAAATAAATAAAATTACGCAATTTGATAAAAATAATGATAATAAAAAATGAACTGAACAAATAAATAATTTAATACAAAATCAAAACGAATGTTTCATAAATATAATTAATAATAATCAGTTTCAAAATAAAAATTAATTTAACAATAATCCATCAAATAATAATCATACAGCCTCATTATTGTTAGAAACAGTCTGTGCGACGTGAATACTCGGACTACTCGAAGAGTTAAATCTCGTTTTTGCCGGTTCTTTATAAAAAAAATAAATGTAGTTAATAAATTAACTATTAAAACTAAATCAAGAAAATTCAAATAAAATTTTGTGGACTGTATTGGTTTTGTTATAATATAAATTACACATGATCTACTTGAACTAATGTTAGTAGGTCTTAACTCTATTGCAACAATCAATTAATGAACATACCACTAATCAATACAATATTTACAATTATAATATCATGATGCTTCTATGGACACTGAACTAATGACAGGTTGCAATCCATCAAATTTCAACTTGGTCAAATATTACAAACGCGTTCTGTACAATTACATACCATGAATTACACAGTTGAGCCCAACGCAATCAACTGTATTCCGCTATCACTTCAAAATAAAGGACAAACAATTAATAAACGTTCGCACACAATATAACGCATTAAGTTAACGCATACTAAATAAACAAACGCTAAAAAACATAAATAATAACCAACAGCGACACCTTCATCAACTGCGACACATCTTACCAAACGTGACACAGTGTTCGTAATAACACTGCAGCTACACACATACGGAGCATACGAGAACATGAATAGGAGAGCCCACACATACACTACCACAATAGTAAAACCGGTTATGGCAGCTCATGACTAGGAAAAACCGGCACGCACAACCAAACACAATCAAAAATCTTGAATTGAGGTTAAACAAATATGCTGAAAATATTTGTTCACTTTAAAATTCAGCAAAATATCAAACTATATTACACATTAATAATATAATTGAAAATATCACTCAGCTTTACATTTTTATATTTATTTTAATGATACAAAAATTCCAATAACTATTGACACAAGATCAAATATTAATTGTATAACAAATAAGTTATTACCCAAAAATCAAATAATCCATAAAAATAATATGAAAAAAATAGATGGTTCAGATAACACGCCATTAATAATCTTAGAAACAACAACAACTGACTTAGTAATAAATCAGATTAATTTTGGTATTAATGTCTTTGTTATCTTGAATTAAACTATTCAATTGGTGATGACTTTTTAGATAAAAACAATGGGATCATTAATTTTGATAAAAAAGTTTATGATAAATTAAAATCAATTAATGTCTGTTTATCATAATAAAAATTTAACATCAATTTACACTTAATCGAAAAAGTAAAAAATTTGTTTACTTTTTATGATTATTACTCATTTTTACATTTTTTGATAATGAAATAGAGCTACTTGATCATAAAATTAATAAAGAAGGTATAAAACACATAGATAGAAAAACAAAAGCTGAATTTTAAACACCACAAACACAAAAAGATGTTATATCTTTATAGGAATGTGTTTTATTCCAAAAACATGTGAAAGATTTTGCAAAAATGACTAATACACTTACAGATTTAATCAAAGGTAACAATAAAAAAAATTTAATGATGCACAGAAGATGAAAAATTATTCAACACATTAAAGCAAGCTTTAATTACACAATCGCTATTAAAACATTTTGACGACAATAAAAAAACAATCTTAACAAAAGATGCTTCCATTACTGGTTTAGGTGCGTGTTTAGATCAAGAGTATAATAATATTTTATTTCCAGTTGACTATGCTAGTGGACATTTATTGACTAATGAAAAACTACCCTAGAATTATTAGGATTAGGTTTTGGAGTAACGAATTTTAAAGCATCTTATACGGACGGGATTTTATTGTATTTTGTGATAATATAAAAGTATTCAATATTATGAATCTCTTCAAATGCCTTCTGTTAGAATTGCCAGATTGACTTTAAAACTATTAGATTTCAATTTTGACGTAATCTACAAGAAAGGAAAAACTAATGAGGTCGCTGATGCTTTATCTAGATATTCTATTAGTAATATTACAGTTAACAATAAACAAGATGATTTGGATTTAGATTTAATTGAAATAAAAGCATTACAACTTGAACATAATTTTTGTAAATATATCATTGATGCCTTAAACAATGAGTCTATTGCTATAAGTTTTAAACGAAAATCGAGACAATTTTTAATTCAAAATTTCGGGAACAACTCATAAAATTCAAAATAAATATTTTTAGCCTAAACTTATCAAAGATATAACCGAATTCATTAAAACATGTCTAAACTGTTAAACAAATAAAAAATAAGTAGAATCCCATAGAACAATTACATTCCTTGCCTCTAACGTCTAAGCCATTAAATCCTTTAATTTTCGATTATACGATTATAATTTTCGATGTATAGGTCCACTAAGTTCAAGTAATAAAAATAAATATATTTTAGTGAAAATATATGATAATGCAAAATATATTTTTACGAAAGCGGTAGAGTTTAACACAGCTGAAGCCACTATTAAATTTATAATTCAAATAGTTTAACAATAAGGTGTCTTTTTAGCTTCGATGCGAAGCTGAGAAGGTATTAATTTTACTATGATGTGTTTTTTTTTTTATTTTTTTATTTTTTTTTTT